GCATGAATAATCATTTTTATTATGCAAATTCTTCTATAAATCATGTCGTTGTGTTAACTTATTCTTTACCTTACGTGTGCACACCAAATATATTTGGGAAAATATGGTTACATTAACATTGCGATGTCATTGGACCTGACCACCTCTAGTCCAACGCTGCATAACATGGGACCACTTCTGGCCCACCGCTGCATAACATGGGGCCACCTCGACAACTACTCCTTTTGGACCATGGCACATTCGGCAGCCGAATCATGTTGCCGATGGGGCACGAAGAGGTGGTTCTCAACACACATATCAGTTTTTTACGTTTGAAGTGGTCCAGGTAAGCATAACAAATTACTAGTATGCAACCTGGTTCTTTTGCACATACTTTAAAACTACGACATAGTGGACCACGTGCTCCTCAAATTTTTGAAGGGTATTGCGTCAGCATTTGCTGGAAAGTTAATATATGTATGTGTGTGAATACGAACAAATTCTGAACATTTTGAGCGCATAGCACATGTCAGAACACATATATGTATATGTTTATACAACTTGTGTGATCCCAGTAGGAAATATAAGGACTTAATGTTATCAGCAACTTGCTCTTCACGCTGTGGTACTTAAGAGCCAAGCATACCCCACACAAGCGGCTCACAGTGGGGTGACCCCTACAAGTTAGCCGGACAAAATTATTTTATGGATTTCAACTATAGAAGTTTTTAAAACGAATCTGGAATCTTGTTTCTAAAAACAATAGGAAATTCAATTAAATTTAAATTAGTATGTAGTAACCTTCTGTGTTAGGTGAAAAGCAATAATATAATAATTGTTATTATAATCAAAAGTTTCCTCTTTTCAAAACGTAGTTACTTGTATTGGTTATATTTTCCAAGTAGTTCATAAACTTCATAAACAGTAATGTTATCAATTTTACAATTAAGTCAAAAGTTAAATAAAACCAACAAAAAAAAAAGCTTTCAATTTACCTATCCCCTCGTTCACCAGCAAAGTGCATTTTTTTCAATTTTTGACGCAATTGCGCTTATTATATTTTTTGTTTGTTATTTATGGCCTTTATAACAGTTATATTCAACAATTTTATTGGGCTTGAGGCCGTTTTATATGAATAAAAGGGTGTTTAACCAAATTGTATTTCTAAAAGAACGACTTTCTTTTAATATGGGTAACTTTTCACTCAAACAACAAACTGATTTCTCTTTTCGAGTAGCTTTTTGAACTGATATCCAAACTTCGAAAATCTCCATTCGGGGTACTGAAAGAATTTTTAGTTTCATTCTAATCAAATACTTTTTCGGTAAAGCGATTTTCGTATATTTTTATAATATTTTCAAAAATAAGTTCATGCACCGTATTATAAAATATTTTTTATCACTAACAATTGTTAAGATTCGAAAATAACTTTAATAACTAATTCATTAAACAAATAGCAGGAGCAGAGTTGCTAATTTGATTTTTTTTTTTTCAATTAATTTGCTCTCTAAATTTTCAAGCTTTGTTTACATTCATTTTTGTACTCTATTGTAACTTACTGTATTTTTGAATGCTATTCTTTTATATGTACGTTCAGTTCTACATATATAAAACCATCAGAAAGTGCAATTTCAATAACGTTATAATATTTATTGCCAAATAAAAAAAAAAACGAATACGTTGAAGTAGTACTTCCAAAGGATATCACAATTTTGGGTTCTTCTTGATCAAATTCATACTTCATTAAAGTTAAAAAAAGACTTCAAAAATATGCACTTTTGTTAATAAGTAAAAGTTAACATGACTTTGGTTTCAAATATATAATTTTCATTCTCCCACTTCTGCACGTAAGGAAAACGTCAAAATTGAAGTTAAGAAATAAAATTATTACATTTTTGAGGTCAGCGGGTATCTGTTGACTTAAACCATATTGAATTATTTCAAAATGTTACAATGAATTTTATCCGGCTAAATATCTTTTTGCTTCAAGTCATACTTGTATTGGGTATTTGAAGGGAAATTTGAGCAAAATCAAAATTTTTTTCATTCGCAACGAAATTTTCCCCAAGTGAGGACGTGAGGGAGAGAAATGGAACAACAGCAAAGTTTTTTTTTACATTGTGAAGCGGAAGAAATTTAAAATTCGTTGCTTGAACGAGTCATGATTGCATGGTTTATGGCGAAATGAGAAAAGTAGGTTTAAAGTATGTTTGACAAGCCGCTTGTGTGGTGTATTTCGATCTTAGCGTTGAGAATAGCGTTCTGTATTGTACTGTCCGAATATTACGGAACCGCTTTAAGAGGAAACTAAAGCTTTATGGAAGTAGGAATTTAGAATAGGGGTATTCTCGAATTCTTGCAAAGCCCTTGCACGGTGCACGGTTTGAAAAACTGTCCCATAGGAAAATTGGTTTTTACCAAGCAATCCGTGCATCGTGCAAGGTGTTTGCAAGGCTTCGATAATACCCGTAATATATATTTAGTATCAGACATATCGTCACCTGGGTAAAAGATTGTCGTACGCTACTTTTGGCAGGTTTGAGGATTCAAGATTGATCTTTGGAATGCAATTTCGCAAAAACACGACTATAGATTTCCTCCCAAAGTCTCAGAGAATGTTACTTGTTCACTAAGTTTATAAATTATTTTATTTTTATTGGTCATTGTTATTTATTTTTGAGATTATGAAGGTTTTTATTTAGTAAAATTTTTTCGTACGCTACATTTGTCAACTATTTTCCAGCCACTTTATATGATATACGACAAAATGTGATAAAATTGTATACTAATTAAATTAAAGATTGTCAAAAATAGATAACGTCATTTGAAAGATCTTGGATTAGTTTAGTATGACTGCATTATTTACTCAATTTGTGATAAATTTCCGATAAAATTTTAGTCAATATCTCGGAAACTAAAGTGGTTATTCAAAATATGATAACCTGATACCAATCGAAAGACCTTATTTAAAAGATATAACTGCTTTAACCTTTTAACCAGGCGACGATATGTACATACTTCTAAGCCGCTTTACCAAATACGGTATTTAGAATGTAGTGTAATCGCTCGCAGTAGTGCAGCGTTCGGTGGAATCTTCGGCGTCACATTATTTTGCAACTTCTTTTAGTAAGGCACAATCGGAGGTGTTCATTGTTCTTTACTAATAATATTAATCATGAAACAAATTTTGATACCAGAAGATGAAAGAAAACAAAAATTACCTCGCAAGGTGCTTACCTAGTATTTTCCAACTGGGTATATGACGTACATACACATTTTTTATTGTTTCTTTGACCGTACACAAAATTAACATTTTGAAAATTTTGGTCATATATATCACCCTGTACAAAATTAACAGTCTTCCAAATAACAGGAACGAACAAATTTTCGCTAAGTTTTCTTCGTGAAACAAACTTCCGTGTCGTGTAAAATATCAGGTACGAATTTATGTACCTTTTTCAAAGCATTTAGAATATGACGCAGAGCACGTAGCACGTTGTAGATACATATGTATGTATGTACGTACATATGTATATATGAAATGATGTTTTGTCGTCATCGCTATACTGTACACGTTATGAAGGTCCAAATAGACAAATGATAACATATTTCCATGTTTAAAACCACTAATTTAGTATACTTTGCAGTACATGCGTGTATGATTTATTAGTGGGAAAACATTTTCGGAGATTTAAAATGTAATTAAACTATTTTATTTAAAAACTCGGTCTTATCGCGAATTCCGCATGTGAACCAATATTTCCAAAAACTAGGCCCTATCGGAAATTTCACGTGAACACAATTTTCCCCAATTTCTTTTTGCTTTGCATGTTAAATTATGGGAACAATTTGTTCGCATGAAATTGGCGATAGGGCAGATTATAAAGTAAAACAAAAACAATGTTTCCCTTTTTTTTGTTGTGTATGTTAAATTATCGAAACAATTTATTCCTATGGAATGGGCGATACCCGTGACTATTCTTGTTTTTCCCCAAAGTAGATAACTGCCAAAAATTGACATTTGAGAGTTACCACGCTTTTATGAAACATATTCAAATTTCTATACATACACATACTGACAGGATATACCATATCATCCAATTTTGAACAACTTAATTTTTTTATTTTCAATTTGATTATTTTGAAATGCTTGCAAATGTTAGAAAAAAAATCATGGTCGACGAATTGAGAGAATGAATTTACCTTGTTAGGGGATATTCCCCTTGTGTGCAAATCACAACATACTACCTTTATACGCACGTATTATATGCAAATAACAATTTGCAACATGGTAAACTTTGCCGTATAAACGCTGAGTTAATTTTTTATTTGCAAATAACTAAATCACGCAAATAAGTATTGATTAGTGGTACTATTTGCAAATAAGGGCAAGACGCCACCATTCTTAGGTTTATTTTCTTTTTCGATGGTCATCTTATTGCCTTTTTACAATCAAGACATTGTCATTTTAAACTTTATTTTCTTTTTCGATGGTCATATTATTGCATTTTTATAATCAGGCAATATTAAAAAAGAATTTTTCACCATCGAATAAACAGTTAGCTAGGTATTTGCAAATCATTTTTATTTGCAAATAGCTTACGTATAAATGTAGCAAGTCGCTTGCCATTCAACAAAAACCACATGATTATTCATACATAACCCAACAGATGCCCAACAGCAAGCCCAGTGCTTTTGCAAATTTGCATCATGTTGTCTACTTTCAATTTCTTCTTCTAGCGCTGCCAGACTTCCATTTTCATCCATCGCATTTAAATGCAAAAATATTTATAACTTAAGTATTTGCAAATAGCTTACGTATAAACGTAGTAACAGTCGCTTGCCATTCAACAAAAACCACATGATTATTTATACATAACCCAACAGCAAGCCTAGTGCTTTTGCAAATTTGCATCATTTTGTCTATTTTCAATTTCTTCTTCTAGCGCTGCCAGACTTCCATTCTCATCCATCACATTTAAATGCAAAAATATTTACAGCCAAAATAACAATCAAATTTGCTAGCTTTGACTCGACCTCAAGTCGAGTAATTTATTGAATATTTGTTTGAATGTACAGGTTTAGCCTTTTTCATGGTAAGAAAGATATTGGTTTGCCTTCAATATTGAAAATAAAATGCAAACCTTATCTCTTCTTTAGATGTCAACTGTAAAAGTATAGTCGTTGCAGATTGCATATTATGGAAGTTTTGTCAACCTCGCAAAAAAAAAAACTGAACACACTTTCATAAAATCATACACATAAAATTCTATGGGTGTACACTTCTCTGGTTTTTTTGTTACTGAATATGTAGAATAGTTTAAGTGTTATATTAAGATCTAAATTAAGCCGCAACTTCTGTTGCCTCGGAACCATTTTGGTTGTCTTCTTTAACTGGTTCGTCCAGCTTGGCTTTTTTCTCTGGTGTTGCTGTAGTGGATTCTTCTGGTTTAGAATCGGCTTCGGCTTCGGCGACTTTTCTCTTAACAGCTTCTGCGGGTGCTGAATCTAAAATAAAATAAAATGGTTTATTATTAGTACAGTATGTACATTTCAAAATTAAAGTTTGTTTTATGAATGCATTACATACCAATCGATATATACATAATCATAAATTGATGTGTGGACTTACCAGTTTCTTCGCTCTCCGCTTCATCATCTTTGCCATTTTCTTCGACGGGAGCAGCAGCTTCAGCTTCAGCCTCAGCAGATGCTTCTTTTGGTGTTTCAGTTGTAGATTCAGCAGCTACTTCGGCAGCGTCACCGTTTTCTTTGGCGGATGCACTGTCAGCACTACCATTTTCAGCGGCAGGTGCTGCTTCTACTGCAACATCTTTTTCTTTCTTTGCTTCTACTTCTTCAGCAGCGACTTTCTCGACAATTGGAGTGTCTCTAAACACAAAGAATAGATAAAATACATATTAGAATATACGTTAAGAATTTAAATGCACTTAGTTCAAGTATAATGAATCATAGCAGTCATGAGTAGCGGAGCTAAAACGAACGCAATGACTTAATTTGAATTTCACATTTAAGCAAAACTCGTTATTTGTTTAGCTGTAGCGAAGCGTTAAAGAATCAAATTGAAGTTGGCAACAAAACATGAAAATGTACCAAGCCCGTCCAGAAAATCACCAATGGTATTGGCACAATCGCATACTTTGTGCGCAACAAAATATACGAACGAATACATACGAATACGGCAAATCAAACGAATGGAATATAAGCGAAATGCTGATAAATGATGTATGTACGTGAATAGAACTAGTTTAGCGCAACAGAAACGCGCAAGAAATATGCAAAGCAAATAGGAAAAAATCAAAGAAAAAAAAGTTTGCCGTGATAGCGAACGTTCAAATATTGTACTTATACATGGCATTGCGAGGTGGAAAAGGTTTTTGCTGTATGTATCACCTTTTCCGTTTGCTTGATTTAAAAAGCCGACTGCGTTGAACATGTCGCGCCAAAAACGAATGCGGTCTTACGGCTACGCGGTATTTACATGAAAGAGACAGAAAACGACGCCGAATGCCGCTATTTGTTATATACACAAAAATTTCCATATTTCTTTTAACACACTTTTAAATTTAACACATTTCTTGAAACATAACTCGAACTATACTATAAGTACATGAGATTTACGAATTATAATTGCAAAAGCAAATAGCAACTCACTTCTTTTCAACAACATCGGCCATTTTGTCAGTGGTTTTTTTTTCTCTACGAGCAGGAATGAATATTGAGCGCAAATGAACTGCGAAATTTGTACGTTTTATGAATAAAACACAGGAGTTTAGCAAATGATTCTGCTAAATAAATCCACGATGCAAAGAAACTTGAAAATTGACCAACTTTTTTTTTATGAAAAGATGACTGCTTGACGAACAAAATATTAGAAGACAAACACGTCCGAATCGTAGAAGCAACTAACGCCGAATGAGACGTTTCGGACTTTTCAGCGTTCACAGGTAGATACACGAAACACACGGATGCATTTGAAAGGTCTTCATAGCAAAAAATTTCAAATTACAAAACTTGGGAGAAAATGATAAATTTTAAGCTACACATCGTGAGGTGATTGCTCTTTTTGTGTTCATCATTATGAGAACAGTTATTTTAACGTAAAACAGCATAAAACATTAAGTTATGCAGAGTATAATGTACTGGACAACATTAAAAAAAAACGTGTTGAGTGCTTTGCTACATGATGTTGGGCCGTATGAATAATAACTAAGCAATTGCTTTTTCTTATAATTTCATACATTATACTTCAATTTTGTTTAATAAATCGAGAAAAAGGTCCGAAATTTTAAGAAAGGCAGTTGCTTTTTTTATTTGTGCTGCCCTTTGTGATTTGTTGTAATTACTTCGTTATAAAGCCATAACCATCGCCGTGGCGGGCATTACGCCAAAATGAAGTGTTTGTTGTAACTCATACCATTGACAGTATGGATATCTGCGTACAATTTGTCAGTGTAATTTTTTACTTATATACTTATACCTTGTTAAATACACCTTGCATGCATCTGTACCGCCAAGTCGGTTAAAGTTTCTCACTATGCTTTTGATATTTCCGTTAAGTCAAGTACTTGAAACATGGAACTTGCCTTGTGTAGGTGTTGATTTTTATATTGAATCTACGATAGTGTAGGAAAAAGCGTTTGATATGGGATTTTCTAACACTAAACGTATGCCTTTTTTGGGATATATGTCAGGTATTTCACACTCACAGTCCTAGACTTTTAGTGCAATCCTCGAACAGACCTTCTAAGTTACACACAACTCGTATAAAGAGGTAATGGTAACACTGAAAGCTTACTGGGAACGAAACGGAGAAAATTCTGCGAAAAGCTAGTGCAAGGGACCTGCATGAAACGTGAATTACATGTGGTGAAGGCGAGCGAGCGAAACAAAAAATGTGTAAATAGGTGGAATTTTCGGTACAATAGAGTAAAAAGAAGCGTTACTTTAAGCACCGCATACACGCCTCAAAAGTCTGTTTAAATTAATTGAATATCTAGCTCGCTATAACTTTACGGCCACAGGTGCTGGTTGCATGCTGCAAGTCTATAGGTGCGGTTAAAAGTTCCAATGCAAGCACTTATTCTTCGCATTTTGCTGTGGGAATGCGAAATCGATAGTCTAATTACCCATGTAAACAGCCAGATAGTCCTCTTTGCACATTTTCGGAAATCACTTTCAGAAATATAAATTGCAAGGTGTAACTGCAACACCCGATTTACATGATTCAAGTACTTGAAAGCAATTCTTGCTCATTCTCTTTTTTGTTTCCTATTTGCGTTTACACGCTTCAATTCTGTTGAATTCAAGTTTTTGGTTCTTTAAATGATGGCAAGTGGTGTCAAGAGATCGAGTGTTGCCGTGGCTCGTGATTTTTGGCTAATTTTTATAAAATTTTATAAATGTTGCATCACTTATAAAGGCTGCATTTCTTTATTCATTCTGAACGTTTGGAATAAACCTTTTTGTTTACTTATTCTTTAGAACGTTCTTGGTGATATGTTAACGTATATTTCAAACACATTCTGTTTATTCTGGCTGTGAAATGGGATTATCTGGAATGTATAAAGAAACGCAGCCAAAAATATACTTGTAATTAGTTTATTCTCCTGACATACTCTATTTAAATCTTAAATCATTCGATATTTTGTGAATGTTTTGTGAGCATTTTAGCATTTTTTCAATTTTTTCAGGTCAGTAATTTTGTAGGCAATATGCGTGCGTAACGTAACAGTGTAAACAGAGAAAAAGTAGTATTGGAAAGTGAGTTTGACGGACTTGTGAAAAGGACTTGCACTTGCCACGTCAAACAGCCACTTATCTATCGAAAAATTCAAAGAAGTTTCTGTGACTTAGCTTTGTTCCCGTGCGATATTCTATCATCCCAGTTTTTGGGTTAAAAGTACTCTTCCGCCGGAAACCTGCGATTTTGTGTTTTACGTTAACATAGCTAATAGCTCTGATCCAATACTTTTCGTGAAAAATCCTGTAAAACTGTCAATAAGCAAATTTACTCTCTGAAGTGAGAGTAAAAAGTGAGTAACAACAAAAAGTACGGGAACAAAAAACCATTTTCATGTAAAAACGTCCACCAGTGATTGCTTGACACTTTTCATGATTTTTCCAGAAGAAAAAGCTCTATTAAAACATTGTGAATAAAATGAGTTTTTGGAGTTGGAAAAATAAACCCATTAAAATAAACCCACATATATATCATCCCGCGCCACCCCCCGCAAGAAACATGAATGTTTAAAAATGAAATTTTTGAGAAATCAAGTTATGAAGTTTTTTGTAGGCTTAACTCTACATTCAGTATATAATATCCAAAGGGTAATCAAGTCAACCCAATACCTAAAACATTGTAAATTTGCATATTCGTGCTCCTAGCATAAGGGTGACGATATGTAACATAGTAATTACTACTTTTATGAACAAATTGCTTCGGAAAATAACAAAATAATCATCTGTTCATAAATTTCAAATTTTTATTTGTTTTACATGTTCTTGCATATTTCTTCTATTTAGAGCAAATGTCTTAATCTCGGAAATTTGGCTACTAGCATTTGATTTTTTTTACGAGAAAACACGAAAACAAGACTAACTTAATTCAAACGCATGCCGTTTTATTTGTTGTTCTGCGTCACCTGAAAATGGCTTGCGTGCATTTGTATTGTTTTTGCTAAGAGAAACGTCAGGTCATATTCGCACGCAGAACAAAAATTGGAAATTGCATTAGCTTTTTACGCACGCGTTTTAATTTCGGTCTTGCATTTACAGTTTAAGTTTTCGTTCTCCAATTTGGTCACGTGCGAGATGTCAAAAACTACTTAAGTAAGTAAGCAATTTGTAAAGTAACATTTTGCATGACGCTGTCGTTACGACCCTCCGCTCCTCCTTCAATAATCATATCTGAGATTCTGCCATATTTGTGTATGGATTTTTATGTTATTCTCAATTCTGCAAATTGTTGTTCTCACTTAACATTTATCGGTATATATAAATTGTTATTATTTACTTAAGGTCGCCTTTCCATTTTTATTTATTTAGTAACGTAATTCTTCCATTCAATGCCACGCGAATTTATAAAGTTGTCGATTGTTCAAATGGCAAATTCGTTCAAGGTTAAGGATTCTTAGCTTTAGCAGGGGCTGGATTCTAAAACTGTTACTTTATGCGTAGGCTAATTCACGAATTCATTTCATGAATTAGGGGTAAAATTGGATGCATAAACACCATTTCATGAATTCAATTATCTCCGAAAGTTAAACATGAACTCGGCATCATTTCATGAAATCGTGAAGGATTTAAATGTTTTTAAACACCGAAATTGTAATTATATACTTGGATGTAAAATAGCCTATTTTCCAAAATTTTTAAGCGATTAAATATGGCAAAAATACATTTTCGAAGCTATCTTACAAATGCTTATATCAAGATATAAAAAGCCCACACAAATATTGCCACTGATATAACGACAGCTGGGCAGCAATAAATTTTATCCTGTGGAGACGGCCAGTAAGGTTGAATGCACTATTCGCTAGATTTTGTATATTCTATTTGGTCTTTATGCAAAATGGCCGCACTGTTTGCACAACAGGAATCGAAACAAAGAAACAGAATGGTACAAAAAAACGGCATGGCGGCGCATTCGCACACTAGAATATTCGGAACAACATGGCTCAAAACAGGAATGAAACATTTAGAACCCTCGTAAGGGTAGAATACACTATCAAATTATTTGCTCGCAGCACATCATGCTAGTGGTATCTCCCCACGACATTCGGGTCTATGAAATCGGTACAACCCAGATTTACATATGTTCGCCAATCTGATAATTACTGAAAATTATCAGGATTTGGCGTTCGCGCACGCAAAAAACTTGCAAAGTAAGAGAAATTCAGAGCGCAAAGTGACAGTAGATTTTGGGGGGAAGTTGCTAATTCTTGCTGGAAGAATTAACAAGCAAGCAAACAAGAAAGGTGTAAAAATCACTTACCTTCATATATTTCTCTATGGGTCCGGGCGAATACTTCACGACCCGGATGGTGACGATTGGGGTATCGCTCTGCATAGAGTCTTTGAGCAGCTCTGGCATTACAGCAAGCTTCACCGTAAATTAGGTGAATATCCGCATATTCATGCGACGTATACTGCGTGTTCTCTGTCATAGTATTAATAACACAATGTTCGAAGGGTCCAATTTCACAAAATCCACTTTCACTAATTCCGGTAAGTAACACAAAATAATGTCAGGAGCAGGTAATAATGTACCTTTGTACTATTTAGCATGTCATTTGACGGTAAAAAGAGCAAATTCAATTTAAATCTATTAAATACATTCTAGCGTGTCTCAGTTCTTTACCCACAAAAGCGGCTATAACTTTTTTTCTATTCAAAACAGTAAGTGTGGCACCTTTCTGAAATCTTTATTAAATGAGCAATTTTTTTATGTAATGTAAAGTTATAGCCAAGGCACATTAAACAGGTAGTATCAGTAGAGCAAAAACAACATTTGCGTGTATTTTGCTGTTGCTTCTGGTATCGAAAGTGTCAAAAACTGTTCTGAATTTTTTCTTCTAAATCAAAGCGTGCCATGTGAAATACAAAAAATTATAAAAAATAAAAAACTGAAATTGGAAAAAATAAAAATTGATGCAACTTTCTTTCCTAGTAAATTTGTTTGCTTCTGGAAGCATTGATCCATCCTTTACAAGGGCCAGTAATCAGCGGTTGTGCTGCTGAGTTGGGCGAACGTTCCAAAAGCTGCTATTCAATCGCTTGTTTTGTATGGAAAAAGATTTCACATGCAAATAGATTTTAACAATTCAGAATTTTTGTGAGAAAAAATTAAAAATATTTGACATTTTCGAGACCAAATAATTTGAAAATAAATCAAATCAGCTGCTCTACTGATACTACCTGTTCAATGTACCTTGGTTATAGCTCAGTACATTTTTTTCACCCGAGATAGTCAAAGTTGGGGAAGAAAATATCAAAAAGTTAAAAATCCAGAAATAGTCCTAATTTCATGATGGTTCCTTAATGTATTTTAACTACATTGCATTTGAGTATGGAGAGGCAACTATCTGGAAGTATTTGACATAAAAAATTTAATAAGTATTGCCCGGTTTGTAGTTGCAGTTAAAGAAAACACATGAAAATATTTCGTTATTGAAATATTTCAAAAACGGTGACACTTTTACCTGAAAATTTTTTGTTTATCAGTGAGCTCACCCCCCACCTACCTTCCCCAAAAGTTTGGCACGTTACTTCTGGGACACCCTGTATATATTTTTTTTTATGTGCCGCATAACTTTGGACCACGTCAACCGATTTCGATAATTATTTTTCTATCGGAAAGGTAGTGTCTCACGGGTGGTCCCATACTAATTTGGTTTAGATCCGATCAGTGGATCATGGAACGGTATTCCTAAATTTTCATATGAGAAGTCGGTTCTGTTTTTTGCTGAAAAATTACTTGTTTATGTTTTAGTATGTAAACAAACTTACAAGTTTTTGCTAATTTAATGTTCGCGTACTTTTTTGGATATCTTCAAATCTTGGAGATAATTCGTTACTCTCCTTCAAGTTGCTGCTGGATATATGTCACTGGAGATCTATTTGTACAGATTATATATCTGGCAAAGGTCTGTCACTTCAACAATAGAGGCCTTATATTGGATTCATGGCAAATGCTCTTTTGGCTGGTATTAAAAATTGATTTATTGATAAAAAATAAAATAGGTATGTAAATTTAAAAACCTTATACAGGGATTTTTTTTTCGAATATTAAAGAACTTCAAATCTAATTTTACTTTTAAAGAAATTGGATGATTGCCTCTTAAGAGGAAATGGGACCGATAAGCAAAGCAGAATGAGCAGGTAGTAGGAGACGAGGGGCAGATTTGAATTTGTTCGTACATTTATCTCCCAATATTAGTTGTGTTCCCCAACTTCTCTGGGTTAAAACCTGTAAAACTGTCAAAAGGCAAAAGAAGCCAGAGAACCGAGTACGGGAACGCTTTCTGGTAAATTCCTGTAAATTCTTGCGAGTTAAGGCTTTTATAGCCCAGTTATGCATACTTAGCTTTGCATGAGAGCTGTCACATAAGAATCTGTTAAACGGGCTTTGCGTGTAAGCGGTTACCCAACGCATAGCACTTAATATACAGAATTCTGTTGGGTTTTGATTTTTACGTAAAAATGGTATAGCAGTGCAAGTGTGCATAACTGGGCTATTAGTTATGCATACTTGGCATTGCATAAGAGTTGTCACATAAGGAATCTGTCAAATGAGCTTTGCGTGTAAGCGGTTACCCAACGCACATCATTACATATGTAGAAGTGTGTTGATTTTTGATTTCTACGTAAAATGGCATACTATGCAGTGCCCTTAGGTAACGCGCTCCTTTGTACTTCAAAAATTGTCCAAATATTTGTCAAAAGACTGCGCCTAAAACCATCCTGCGAAAAATTGATTTAAACGCTTTAAAAACATACATACAAAAAAATAAAAAATTTTAACATCTAATTTTAGGCCCTATCTTTTACAAAATGTCATCACGAAGGCTTTTTTGAATAAATTAAATAAATATGGTATTTATTTAAGATGTGCATTTAAAATATTTTTTTTTTACAATATTTTGCTTGAGCATTAAATGCTTGCTAATTTAATATCACTACGCGCATAAAAGTAAAGCGCTAATTTGCAGAAATATATATATTTCAATGTCCAAATTTTTAGCTTCTATGGCATATCTCTTCGTACGCTTGGATTCATTTATCGTCTAATTATCACTTTCAGGTTTCACCTTTTCAATTTCAACAAAGCGATTGCGTTTATACTGATCTTTGTAACCAGCAATAAAGCGCAAGCGACCTTCATACTGCGTCTCTAAAACAGTTTGTACCATAGGTGGATGGTCTTCTCCCAATTCCAGCCATAGCTTGCCGCCAGTCCTCAAATGTTCACAAGCCAGGTTGAAAACTAGACGAGCAACACGTAGACCATCCGGTCCACCATCCAAAGCATTCAAGTTTTCATAGCTACATAGAAAAAGTTTAGATTACTTTAAAATGTGGACAAAATAAATTATTGTACGCAAACTTACATTACTACTTCCGGTTGCAACAAAGGAAAGTCTTCTGTTTTTACATATGGCGGATTGCCAACTATTAAATCGTAGGTTTCGTTTACCAATTCTGGTGGTACATAGTTGTCTTTTTCCATAGTGTGATGATATACGGTAAATCGTTTATCTAAGCCCAGCATTTCGGCATTTTCTCTAGACAACTCTGTTGCTGCTTTACCACGATCAATCGCAGTGCTGCGCACATTTGGAAGTGCATTCAAAATGGCTAGAGATATAGCGCCAGAGCCACAGCCCACTTCAAACATGTTAATTGGCTCATTAATATCACGATGCGCTTCAATTACTTTAGAAACAAATTCTTCCGTTTCAGGGCGTGGAATGAATACAGAAGGCGAAGTCTTCAGAGTCAAGTCCATGAAGTCCCACTCGCCGATTAGATACTGAAGTGGCATACGGGCACAACGTGCCTCACATAATCGCTCAAACTCTTCAAGTTGACTATTAGTAAATAACAAATCGTTGTAATCTTTAACCGTGTTCTGGGCAGATAAATAAATTCCGCACAATTACACAATATATTCTAAGAAAATTTAAGTAACTTACAAATTTTCGACCCAGTACATGTGCTACCAAGCATTTTATATTAAAATCAATATCACCGACATCCGCTTTCCGTAGTTTTTCGGGCCAACCTTCAAGAGCTTTGGTTACCATAATCGATGACGCCTGCTGTGGTTGTTGTTGTTGCTCCCGTGGCGGCGTGGAACCGCTGGTGGCACTAGCTGTTGCATTGATGTAATTGGCATAGCTGGCACGGGAAACCTGGCGCACTTGTTGGCGTAATTGTTGCGCCATCAGCCTAAACATCGTAGATAACTTTTAACGCCTTCTTCCTGTTACGAATTTCCAATTGAAATTTCAATACTGCTTCTTGCCAAGGTAAACCAAATATTGGCGGAAGTCAGCTGGAGTAATTACTAATTGGATATCCGATATTCGGTATTCACTCAATATGGCGCGTTACAGTGTTGCTTCTTGATTTCCTCTTGTTTTTTTTTTGTCGTCAGGAAGTTTGAGTTTTATTTTAAAACTTATTTTTTTTTTTTATAAAAATTACAATGCAAGGACCAAACATAAGTCTTTTGAAAAATTTAAAACTATTCTTGCAGTGTTTCTTTAGAGGAAAATTAAAAATCGAAACAAAATTTTTTCTGGCACAAGACAAAGCAAAGGTACATATGTATATTTGTGAAGGGCATTTTTAATTTCATTCAAATAAATATGCATAAGGTTTAGAAAATCGGTATAACTATTTCAAAACAATCATAATTTACTTTTTAAACCACCAAGAATAGGAGCATGCATTAGGGGCGCTTTAAAATGTCTAGAATATTACTATAGCGTGTCCAATTGCCTGCTACATTGAGCTAGGCTCATTTCAGTATCTGCTGTACACAGAAATCACTTGCCTTCTGCTGTCATCGAAACATTAAAAAGTCAAAATTAAAATCAAACTATTCTTTATTACATAAATTGCTCAGTCGAGCTTAAATAAAAATCCATTACAAATTATGGAATGCTTTTTAATACCTTTACTACCCCCCAACAACTGCAGACATTTACTAAGCGAGGTTCTAGCAGTGGAAATATTTTTCGGTTATCGAAGTCTAACACTAGTAAACTATTTACTGTTCTTTGAAGTTAAAACGTCGTCCTTACTATCATGTGAGATAGTGATATTTCTACCAGGCGAAATGGCCGCGGCACTCTCAAATTTGGAACTGTCCAGCTTACTATATGAGTTTACAATCTCTGCCGGAGGAGCTTTATCGTCGATACATTCCGGTTTTATCTCATCCTCTTCTTCGGTTTCGGACTCGTATTTCTGCAAAGATAAGTGGTGAATAACAAGATTAGAGTTTTATTTTAGACCAGAACAAATTTAACATTTTACTTAGCGATAATTTCCATTAATCGGGAGTGCATTTTTTGGTTTTCAAATATGTACTTAAATTTGACTTGATTTTTAGAAATTTCATATATTTAATCATACAAGCAATAATTGAATTAATGAACAATTCATGATAATAATAATTGATTATCTTCCTTTTAAAAGCTCAGTCTTAAATTACCCTTTCTCCTGTTTTGAGCAGTTTAAGCAGTTGGAGCATATTTAGGGTAATCCTGTAAAACGAAGGAGAACATACAGTGATTGACAATGAAGCAAAATTAGGATTTTACAAAACAAACCATACACATTTGTATACTGTCAAACAATGCACAAAATAAAACGTAAGCAAGGATAAAGAAACAACGCCTGTATTTTCATTTAAATAATAAATCCAATCAAGCCAAATTTACTAACTATATAAAACTATTATAATGAAGCAGTAAATTACTAAGACTTTCAAAACAATATGCGACAACTAACACGAAGTTATTTATAAAGCTAGTAAAGCTAAATACTTATCATTCCAAACACACCTTCTGAATATATTGGCGACGCGTTGTCATGGTCAAATGCAAAATGCAAGTAGATGCATCGTCAAAGATGCACGGTATTGCCTCCTGGCAAACAACGCCACTTTTTTCCACCTCACAGGCACGGAAAAGTATCTGTTTTTTATCTTCCAAAATGTGCTTGCGACAAAATTTGCAACATGGCATTGCTCGTTCACCGCACTTCACACCACCTTCAGTAAAAATACATTTGTTAAAGCTGGGTAGCTTATACGCAGAGCCTTCGGTTGCGCGGGAACGTTTCTCTTTGAATTTCTTATACATCAGTGATTCAACGCCATACCGGCGATGGTACGTATTAAGTGCCTTAAGTTGATCATAAAGTTTACGCTCACTCGGTGAGTCTTTTAGCTGGTCGTGAATACTACCTGAAGTTTCGAAAAAAGCAATTTAGACAATATAAAAAAATATAGGAATACTACTTACAAAGTATTTCACGTTCTTTGCGTAAGGCAAGTAAATAGCGCCGCCGACGTTCTTTAAGTACCTGATGCAAATGGTTTATTTGGTCAATATAGAGGCCCTGCAACTTGGTTAGCTTTGCTTCTGAGATACGTATAGCCTCTTCTCGTGTATAAATGCCGGCATGTCTACAAAAGTTTATAAAAAATGAAAAAATGAATGAAAAAAAATAGACGGAGGAAGAAATATATATGTATGTATGTAATTACAAGTCATCATCAACGCATAGCTCTAAATATTTTCGGAACTGTAGTTTTGGTAATACATATTTCCTTAGTTAACTCTCCATATAGGGAGTGCTATCCGGAACTCAAAAGCCATATCTTAAAATATATGAGATATATTAACATCTTTAGTACAGACCTCTACGCCATTATCTATGTAAATTTAAAAGCTTTTTTTCTTCTTATCAAACAATTTTAATTTGGCCAATAGGGCGTATGACATTGATCGTGACGAGCTGCAAATTTTAATACTTCTTTTAGTATTCTTACTTGAGTACATCCTCATTTTGAGAATCAACGCTTTCATCGTCCGATTCCTGAAACTCAAATCCGCGAGCGGTGTTATTAATGCTGGGCGGGTCATCCACATCGCTTGAGCTGTCTGAAGCGTAATCCAAAATGCGTCGTTTTTTGTGCAGACCCGATAATGCAGTGTCAAGGCTATTTATTTGATCGTGTGCGACTGTAAGTAGATTTATTAGATCTATGCATTTTCGAATCAAACTTAATTCTTTATCTTCAGTTACCAAATGGTGCGACATGCGGTGATACCACGTCAATTTCCTCATCTTGATCATCATCCATCTGATCCCATTGATTAACCTCCACGTTAATATGATGGGCCAAGCTATTTAATAGTGCTTCATTTGTATCTGTACGCTTTAATTTGCCTACAGAAGCATGCGTTTTCTGCAGTTGTGCTTGACGATTATGCTCAAAACAAAGTGTTGTCATGGCTGGATCTTTTTTAAGATCATGCTTCTGTAAAGCATTTGTACATTTACGCCCATTCGGATAGATGTAGGTGCACTGCCGGAAATTTCCACGGGGATCACGCAAAATATGACGCATACAATATTCTTGGCCATCAACTCTCGGTAGTGAACATTCATAAGTGGGATTAGAGCAACTTTTTGCTTTGTTTTCAATTTCCTGATGCAATTGTTCACGTAGTTCTTGCAAGCTGCCGCCATAACGCAAAAATTGGCGCTGACGCATATGTGAACAACTGGCTGCCATTATAACAATCGAGATATTATATTGAATTATTATTGAGCTCTTGCTGTACACTCTGTAGGTTTTATTAAAACGTTGTATTTTAATATCGTCTGCTAACGTTTACAAATTGCGAAATTGAAAATACGTACATAGGTATGTGAAAAGCATTTACATATCGAAAATAGTCGATTTTTCTTAGTCGCCATATCGATTTTGCCTATAGTGTCTATACACCCAGTCTACACCTGACATTTGTTGGCAGTATGGGAAATTGAGGGAGCGAGCAAGAATGATAGAAGAGAAGATTGAGCGTTGAGCCTTGCTGGGACGTCATGAAGGAAACAGGGCGAACAGCAGACAAAGAAAAATTAGCAAAATGACATACAAATGATAACCAAAATTGCGAACATTCACGTAAAATAGTAAAATAAAAAATATTGGTTAGTTTATTATGAGAAATATTAGAAGAAGAAGTTAAGTAAATGTGCCAGGCATATATGTGACGAAAAGCAACCTAAAGTTGCCTAATTAGAAGAGCTGTTTACCAAAATATCTTAATAAAATCGAAGTGATTTTGTGTTTTCTATTATAAGTTTTATTGCTATTAAAAATTTTGTTTTTTATTTTATTATATATTACTAAATATCAAAAATTAATTAAAAAATAATAAAAACTAGTTATTGAAACTCGCCACCGCGTAGACGCAAGTGTAGCGCTGCGACGAATCGCAACATTTTGTGTATATAGGGCGCTGCAAAGCCGTTCCCGAAATGTTTCTTTATTATTGTATTGACAGCATTTCATCACAATGATTTCGTTTCTGCTCCAAGCAGCCTCCTTTAGCAAGTTAATTAATCAATCCAGCTGAGATACTGCCGCCGTTTGCCGCAGCAGCCTTAATTGCAAAGCAATGTAGTGCACTAAAACGTTTGCTGCAATAGCCTCAATTGCAAAGCTATGGAGTGCAGTAAAAAGTTCTCTCTATTCTCTAATATATTAGGTGAAAAATGAAATACAGTTCAATGCGGGCATGAACGTGAACTATATAGTTTGCCTAATAACTTCGTTATTACTTCACCTCTTGCAATAGTTAGAGAATTAAAATATCTTTCAGAATTCTAGAATTAAAAGGAATTTCCACTGTATAATATCCACATTTTACAAGCTCACACTCAATTGTGTGCGTATGCAAAACATTCGCATGTGAACCACAAGTTTTGACAGATATATGTGAGCGTGCATAAATATACAAATGAAATTATTTGCCTTTGTGAACGTTCACACTCACGCTCGCATTGAACTGTGTAGCGAACTTTTATACTAGGTTCACATATAAGTAGATTATCCGCATTTTCGAGCTTAACACCCTAAACTGTAATTATAACAAGAGA